TTTCATATTTCATATGCTAATTAGTTATTCTTAATTTGAGATAATTGTGGAAGATATTTTAAAATTCTTTTTGTGCTTTTCACAAAAAGCCATTGAGTACAATGTGCTATCAATCACTGTTAAATATAAGAGCTTTGTTTTTAAAAACTAGATAATTTTTTCTGAATCCACAGGTTGAAACTGTATCACAAGATCTCCCAATTATTTCTTTTACTTCCTCAAGTTTGTACTTTTAGCAATAAAAGGACAGTCGACCAAATTAAATTTAGAGGTAGAACGGTCATACGACAAAGAAATGAAACACTGCAATAATTTATCAAGATAACCACTGTTCAGTATCAAAACACACCGCACATACACATTCTTTTTTACCCTGTCGTTCTTTTAAAATTCCACTCTTTCTACATTTCTTGTTCTTCGTGGCTCAGCCTATCTGCATCAACTTATACCTCCAAATCTACTCTGACCCTTCTCCATCCTTCCCTGGGCCCTGGAAGGCTGAGCTTGGAAACATCTACCTACTCCCTTTTACTCTGCCTTTTGGCTGGTTCAGTTCGAGAAGGTTTCGAGGCAGAAGACCAAAGGAGAGTGAAGCCAGGGTATTTATTCCCACAGCTTCCTCTCTGATAAGGGTCTCTACCACAAGCCACCGTTCCTGCCCTGTGGTCCTCTCCTTTAAGCTCCCCTGTTTGGGTTCACTGACCCCTGCTTCCCTTGCTCCTTCAGGCCTGGGTGTTTGTTCCCTATCAGGACACTGTCTAATCCAGGAGCCTTTCTTTTCTTTTAATTTCTTTTATTTATTTTAACAACATTGTGTTAATTTCTTCTGTACAGCCAAGTGATTCAGTTATACATATGTATACATTCTTTTTCATATACATATACATATATATATATGTTCTTTTCCATTACGGTTTATTACAAGATATTGAACATAGTCCCCTGTGCTATACAGTAGGACCTTGTTGTTTATCCATTCTCTGTATAATAGTTTGCATCGGCTAATGCCAAACTCTCAGTCCATCCCTCTCCCACTCCACCTCCCACTTGGCAACCACAAGTCTGTTGTCTACATCTCTGTTTCTGCTTTGTAGATAAGTTCATTTGTCATATTTTAGATTCCAAACATAAGTGATATCATATGGTATTTGTCTTTCTCTTTCTGATTTACTTCACTTAATATGATAATCTCTAGGTCCATCTATGTTGCTGAAAATGGCATTATTTCATTCTTTTTTATGGCTGAGTAATATTCCATTGTATATATGTACCACATCTTCTTTATCCATTTTATCTGTTGATGGGCGTTTAGGTTGCTAGCCATGTCTTGACTATTGTAAATCGTGCTGCTATGAACATAGGGGTTTATGTATCTTTTCAAATTATAGTTTTGTCCGGATATATGCCCAGGAGTGGGATTGCTGGATCACATGGCAACTCTAGTTTTAGTATCTTGAGGAAGCTCCATACTGTTTTCCATAGTGGCTGCCCCAATTTACATTCCTACCAACTGTGTAGGAGGGTCAGAAGCCTTTCTTAACTGCCTTCTTCTCTTGGTCTCTGGATACTGCTCCCTCCTTATATACTCCTGCTTCCCTGACTTGTCCTTCTTGGGTGCTGCTTTTATAGCTCTCTAGCAACCTACACATCCCTTTGTAATAATGCTCTAGTCTCAATACTGAGCTTCTTGCTTCATTAAAGGACATGGGGAAGACACAGAAAATTGTGGTTCAGCTATAATCCTACACACCCCAACACACATACACACACACAACCCCTCTAGGTGGGGTATTTATTTTTTTCTTTAAAATGTAGTTCAGTAACTCTTTAAAAATCATAAAAGTGACACATTTACCACAACCAGTGAAACAATGTAAAAATATGTAAAGAAAAGAAGTTAATGCTCTTCCCCAGTGATTTTGTTTGTTTGGGGGTTTTTTTGTTGTTTTTTTTTGGATCCTTCCCCTTCACCTTATTCCCCACCTTCACCCTGTCTAGCCCTAGATAAAGAATGTGAACAGCCTGGCCTGTCTTTCTTTACACCTGTCTCCATGATATTCAAACTTTCAAACCCATACCAAACATATATACTCATATATAGAGAGGGGTGAAACTTGTCTTTACAAAAACAGAGCTTATTCTACATTATTTTGCAACTTGCTAGATAGAGATCTAGTTCCATACTTTAAATAGCCTCATAATATTACGGAGACTAAATATACTCTAATTTATGTAGCCATTTCTCTACTGATTGACACTCCATTTTTTTTTTCCAGCTGCTTTGACCACTATACACAGTGCTGCAGTAAACAACCTTATGCATATATTCTTACTAGTGCATCTATTTATGTGACGTAAATTCCTAAAATAGGGTTGCTAGGTCAAAGTTACATATAGTTTCAATGACAATCCCCTTACTTTCTCAAAAGTGTGTAGCAATGTATTTCCTGTCAATTTAAGTCCTATATATGTTTTATATGGATATACTATGGTATATGCAATTTTTAATCTTTCTTTCTTAACATGAATTACAGATAACTGTCTACGCACTATACACTTTCTGTAGTAATCTTAAATGGCTGGGTATAGCCATTAAAGTTGTGGAGCTTCTTTAAAATTTTGGGGGGATTGTATCAAACCTCAATATTAATATAGGGAGAATTTCTATCTACTCCCCATAATACATGCCCAGAGACAAATCAAAGCTTTGACAACAGCATTAGATATAATAAAATCTGTTACAAATATGCCTTTCAACCCTTCATCAGTTGACATTAACTACATCTTTTGATGGGCCCAAGCACTGATAACATGATTCACATATCAAGAGGAACTATGCCTGGGGCATATGTCTCCATCACCACCTCAGTGACTTCAAAGGGGAAAGATCATGAGATTGTTGAGAAACACACTGAAGCACTGGGGATCTTCCTGAATATGGTGAGCCCAGTTACATGGGATTTTTCTGGCATTAAAAGGGTCTATTTCAGATCAAAGGTAAAAGTAGGCCAGAAAAAACAGAAGGGAATCCCAGACCCAAGGACACTGCTATTCAGGTTAGCACAACTAGAGTCCTTCAGGCTTGAGAAAATACCACATTCCACAAAGGCTTGGGAACATTCTGCAGCTGTTTCCATAAAACCAAGGTGGTGGTCAGGGTGGGGATGGGGAAGTGGGGAGAGGAGGGCCATGAGAAGACAAATCTGGCCACCATTCATTGTTAGCATATTCTCTGTTTGATCACATCACCACCAGACAAGAAATTCCTGTGCATAAACCTTGGAAAAAAGAGTTAGGAAAATTACAAAGCCAACAGGAGGTAGACCAATAGCCTTCATGCTGTTTCCTGTGTGGATGGCAATGTTGGCTTTCACTGCTCGGTCCTGTGAGAATGAGAAGCGGATTTTACTCTTTCCTGGGAATTACTACTTGCCCATAACACTAAAGAGTCTTCCAACTGGAAATGGATCTGATTACTTTTGCCAGACTTAATCTCTTACTTGAGCAGTTAATGAGTGCTTTCAATAATCTTAATCACATCACTTCAGTAAAATACCTAGACGCTATTTCCACAGGAAATAAACGTCCACAGACCATAAACTCAGCCTGGTTAATAGCTAACGTGGGAGAAAGGTGGGAACTGGACTCAGATAAAGGGCTACTGTTGGGTGATGGTAAATGAGTGATCCACCCTTCGTCTGGGACTGTCTGAGGCCAGTGGATGTGGGAGGTGGAGGGAGGAGAAATGAATTGAAAGACAAAGGCAGCTGGAAGTAGCAAAATTCTCCCTGTGTGGACCCACCAGCTGCAGGAAGTCCCTGAAGGATCCAGAATATGATGATGACTCGTGGCCACAGAGAAGGGGGATTAAAGGAAAAGCAGGAGACAGGAACACAAGATACAGATCAGAGATACTATCTGGAGAACTCCCTCCCTTCATGCTTTTCAAAGAGGGATGATGATAAGAGATAACGTTTGGACGTTCCCGGAGGAAGGTCCCAGCAGAAGAGAACTTATCCATGACAGAAAAAAAGGCTTCTCCTGCTCCTATTTCCCCCCTTCCAATGCCTTCTTTTGTAACATTAGAAGCACAGGCAGCCTCCCTACCAAGGAATCCATGTGATTCTAATGACTGGCTCCTAAAGTGCTACGAAGATCCCAGTGGAAGACTAGGCCCAAAGTAAAGGGAATGGTTCTGTGCAACGGTACGGAGAGGTCACGGGAAAAGGGTGACCATCTGTTGAACGTGCCCCTCAGTGAGCTTAAGGTCAGTCATCAGAGAAACTGAGTGTCCTCTGTGTGCCTACCTTGAGCCAGATACGATGGAGCTTTTATAATATTGTTTTGGGTTTTTTTTTTTTAATAGAAAAAGGACAATAAAATAAAAGGATAATTCTAAATCGGGGCGGTGGGGGGGGAGAAAAGATTTACTGAAGCTCAGTGTATTATTTAATGCACAGTTCCTGGAGGAGCAGCACACCAAGTCGTAGGATTTAGTATGACTTCTAGAAAGACCTTTCGGAATTGAGGCGGCTCTTGCATGCCCATCTCTCCAGAAGTCTCTATCTAATCGTTGCAGAGAGCTTCCTTTCAAAGTATTTTGAAGGTTCCAGCATTGACAGGGAGAAAGGATTTTCATCACTAGGATTCTATGATACATGATATAAAATCTACAATTCTCTGACTTTCCTGATGAAGCAGTTTGGTTATATTAGGAAATAGCAAGTCTCATCAAACTAAGAGCAATACATTACAAACACAAAATGAAGAGCATTTACCGCATTTTAAAAGAAACACACCCTGGATCAATGATATAGAGAAATTTATAAAATGGCAAGAGTTCAAAATAAACAGAAGCTTTTGAAATTCCTCTTTCCTTGACAGATATTTTTATCTTAAAAATTGCACATGATGTTTTCTCTAAACTTTAAGAGACTATATATCATATTACGAGCCTAGACAAAGCATTGACCATATGCTGTGAAAGGACCACTGAAAAAGAACCTATTATCTATACAATGGCATACACGACCCTAAACATCTGGCCGCACTGGCCTGGAAAATGTAGTGAATACAGGAGTGGCACTTTTATACACTGTCTTTTATACACTGTCTTTTTTAGTCTTATTGATCCTACTTATAGAACCACCAAAATTATTTTCATATAAAATTTTAAATCACATGAAACACACGAGCCAAACTGGCTCTTTAGTACCTTTTGCATAAGACATGATGTTATACCAGTAACAGTAGAAACCCATACATAAAACATAACTTCAGAATAAACATTACTCCGTGTTTGTTTGGGAAATAAAATACTGTTAGAAAAAAGAAAATCTGAATCACGTTTCTTCAAGTGAGAAGGAATTCATCCCTCTTCTAGTATTAAAAAAAAAAAGTTTTTGTCATAAAATAAGGGTGCTTATAAAAGTGATTACTTAAAAAAAAAAGAAAAAAAACCCCAAACCTCTAACAACAGACAGATGAGCAAAGACACAGCATGCTTCTGCTCTTCTGCTTACAAATCCGAGGCACCCCAGCAGCATGAACAGCAGAATTTAGGTCAAGGGGCCAATTAGCATCAAAGGCAGCGACAAGTTACTACTTCTCTCTGCCCAGTCCTGTTTCCTTTGAGAGTCCTGTATTAAGCAACCATGGAGGCAGCTTTAGAGCATTCCAAAACAAAACATTTAAAAAGACATTTACAGAGTATTGCTTCTGGAAGCAACTACAGCTCTGACCCCATAAGTCAACACCATCCTCACCATCTCCACACTCTTGTATACGACTCCCGGCTGTCCTGTTACAAGGTGAATTAACTAACAGGCCTAGGAATTTCGATTCATCGTTAATTAGCCAGTGTCTGAATAGCACGAGCAGACTGACAGTTTGGGGTCGCCCAGGAACACATGTAAAGCATTTGAAACCGGGACTAACCTGGAGGTGACCGGTGCTGGGGCTGAGCTGCGGTCCTCCCAGGCCCCAAGCTCTTTTCCAAAGGTTCCCCAGGCACCAACCGAGGTTGGCCCGCTCTGAGGGAGGTCGCGTTGGCTCCTTTGGTCTCCGTGACCTTTGCAGAGAGTGGGGGCTCCAAGGTGTCAGCAGAGGGTGACCCAGAGAAAGCACGGCTCTTTCTACCAAGAGAGTCATCAAGAGCGGCTTCCCTCTCAGCAGGCAGTGAAGGGGGCCGGAGGATCCTGTGATGCTGCTGAGGGCTGGGGAGCCTTGGAGAGACAGGCAAGGGAACAGGTGACATCCATTTGTGCGTGCTGGACGGAAAGGATGAATTATTAAATACCGTGCCGAGAGCTGCCAGTGCTGGGGGTGCTGGCCTCTTCTCATCACCTCCAGGGTCCGCACCGCGGGGCAGATCCAGAAACAAGGTTTTGTGGCCACTCAGAAGCAGCCCAGCTCCCCTCTTGCTGCCGGTTTCTGGGAGGGTATGGGTGGCTGTCGTCCCGAAGGGAAATCCCAGCCGTTTCCCCTCGGTGGCTTCATCTAATTTCTCGCTCTCTATCACCTTCAGGAGGACCTTGTTCACAGCCCCCTCAATGCTGGCTAGGGGACACTCCTCAGCGGATGGCTGCCATGACCTGTCCGTTCTCTGCTCCTTGCCCCAGCAGCTGACACCCCAAGCCCCAGCCTCAGCTTCCGGGAGGGTGAGCAAGTCTGCGCTGGGTATGAACTCAGCTTGGGCTGCTGGGCAAACGGCAACCCTTTCCTCATCCTCAGGATGCGTTTTAACTACTCGTTGCACCTGAGCAGACAGATCCTGGACTTTGGCCACCACTTTGGAAATAGGCTTCTTCCTGCAAGTCCGTTCAGCAGCCTTCTCTGTCCGGCCCCCCTCTGCCTCTGCATGTTTCTCGGGCTCCTTGTGACTTTCGGTCGAACCTGTTTGCAGATGCGCCAGCCTGCGAGGGCCCCTCTGGGGCCCCCCGGCACCAGCATCTCCTGGCTCTGTGGAGCTGCATTCGGGGGGCAGCCCGCCTCTTCCATGCCCCGCAACCTCAGAAGCCTTCTTGAAGCTCCCCAAGGCGGAGTCAGCATCAAGTGTCCTGGGGATCTCTGGGGTGCAGCTCCCTCTCTTCTGGAGGGAAGAGGTAAGTGCCCCATTTGGAAGCAAGTTGCCTCTCTCCTCTAGGAGCCAAAGAAGAGGCCTTGTTTGAGAAAGAGGAAGGGCGTTGCTGGAACAGATCTGGTCCTTCCCCATCAGAGGGGGCAATCCCTGGCCCCCATGCCCCTTTCGTCTTGTCCTCTTCTGCAGGGAGTTTTGGGAGAGCCCCTCAAAGCTCTCTCTCCTTCCACCAAACCTCCGGGCCTTTTTGTTCCCGTGGGAGCTCCTCTTATTGAGAGAGCCCACGGGGGGCTCCCCCAGCCAGTGGCCACCACTCTGGAAACAGTCGTCCTCGGGGGCCAGGCTCACAGAGAGCTCCGGCAGCTTCCCCTCCTGGTTCCCCATCGTAATGCCCAGGATGTGGTCTGAGCTCAGCAGATTGGCCAGCAGTCTCTCCCTCTCGGCCGTGAGTTTGTACAGCTCAGTTAGAATGTCTTTCGTGGGAGTTGGCTTGAAAAATATGTCGCCTGGATGTTCGGTCGGCTGCCTGCTGAGGCTGTTGATGTCGGACCCCGCCCTGACTTGGTAGCAGTTATGAAACGCTTTACTGGATCTGTCTAGAGCTATGGTGCCCTTGTACGAAAATCCTCTGACTTCCCCCCTCGGAAGATAGAAGCTGATGTAGCAGAGTTCGGTAATGGGCTTACGCAATTGGAGGGTGCAGTGAGTGCCTTCCATTATGCCTACCTAATTATTCATGCCTCGGAGGTGCTGGTCTGTGGTGAGGCTTCCCAGGCTCCGGTGGTGGGCCATGTGATGGTGGCTAAGCAGGGAAAGCATCTGACAGTCATCTCCAGCAATGAGACGGCCTGTTAGAGGAACAGGGGAAGAAAGAAGCTAGTCTGACGGAGTGCATGAATCACACAGCGACATAAATCAAAGCATAACTGGACTTATCCTTCCTCTCTGGCTGACCTCAAGCAACTCAAGGCAACAGCCAGGAGGCTGATCGCAACCTCCTCCCCACTCTCAGCTCACCCTTGACTAGCAAAGCTTTGATACAGCTGAGAATGGGAGAGTGCTCTAATTTTAGCCCCAAGACAAAAGTCCCTTCTCCTCACATGGGAACTTGATGTATACCCTAAGCAGGGTCTCTTGACTTCTCAAGGCTTCAGATTAGGTTCTTCTATAAAACAGAGCTAACATACCTCCCAGAAATCCTGAGGAAAGGGGACTTTGAGGTCCTTAGAAAACATCACTCTCCAAGAAGTACCTTCTAAGATTTGACATTAATTATCTATTGAACTTAAAGCAGTGGGGGAGGGGGGAAGATAATAGGTCACAAATTTTGAGTCTCTTCTGGACACAATTCATATATTTTGCCAAAAGAGTGAAAAGTGAAAATTTAAAGAAGTAACCCAGAAGCCTTAATCAAGTTTTTTGTTTCTCTTCCTAGTTCTTGCCTATCTGAAGCCAAATGGAATGGCAGAGAAAAAGGAAAAATCTGTAAGCCACTGCTGGTCCTGTATGGATTTCCAATGTCTTCGCCATCGAAGTGGCTGAAGTGTCACATGGGCAGTGAAGGTGTCTGCTCCCTCGTACGATGTGAAGTATCCCAGGGGTGTCTCTGTGGCTAACATCCCTCCACACAATCATGAGCTTAGAATGCTATATTATGATACTTCATTTCTTAAATGAAGGCATTGCCCAGTCTTCAATATTTCCAAGCTTAAAAGAAATTCCCTGGGAAGGGTAACACAATAACCATTTTGTTAACCACTGATTTCTTTAGTGATATCTCAGGTCTTTCCTAAATGGGTCTAAATAGTCAAAAGCTACATAAAAGAACATTTTGAGTGAAGGAAGAGAGAAAGGAGGAAGCTTTCCAATAGAAACTTCTTAACGAAGACAGATGAAGATAAAAGTAATAGAAGGTAAAAAGAAAAACATGCAAGAATCTGGTCAACCCAGAAGTTCCAGGAGGACTCAGGGTCCTCACAGACAGGGTTAGAAGGGCATGAAGAGAGGAAGCACAGAGGAGATGGGAGGCCAGCAGAGGCCTTGCCTCTTTCACAATTTTCTGTGGGATTGTTCTCATTCAACTAGCCTATCTGTAAAAACTTTTCTAAAATGCTCCTTCCTTGCCTTTCCTAAAGACACACATGTATATAGATACCTAATACTTATTGGTACACACTCTCTGAATATATCCAAGAACTCACTTTGGAGGTGGTTTTTTATTGGGGGTGGTTTTATAACAACCAGTTATAAAAGCCATTGCACAGCTGCCAATATCCACTGTTCACGATGCCAAGCATCACCAGTTCAGTTTAGGGATTGTCAGAAAAGCTGAAGTGAAGCTGCAGAAGTGCTATTTTAAGTTGCAGGAAAATGGGAGAGGCCTAGTTTTGCCTTCAAGCATCATTCTCCTCTAGTTTTTCTTATCTTCTCAATTTCCCTGGATTAGGAGAAGTGCGTGATATGGGAGAAGGGGAAGAGTTAAAGTTTTTTATAATCTGTCCAAAGTAGCAGCACGAAGTTGATGCCATGATTTCAGCTGAAAACATGACTGCTTCTTCTAAAAGCTTATTCCCTAAGAGAGGGAATTTTTAATGTATTGAACATATACATGTGCACACTTTTATTTTGTTATCTCATTTAATAAACACATCTCCCTTTTACAGATGAAGAGATCGAAATTCAGAGACATCAAGGATGTGGTCTAAGGTCATATGGCTTAGAAGAAGCAAGGATAAAAACCCAGGTCTGTCTCATTTCATGGCTTTGTACGTAAAGTGGCTCCTCATCTACTGCCTTCTACTGATGAACTAGTTTTCCAAGAAATCTGCATAGAAGAGTTCTATTATTTTGCTAGCTTGGTGTTACTCACACTGTTTCTTCAAATATGTCTCACATCTTGCTACTTGTACCACTCATTGGTTAGTTTCGGCACCTCTGATCAGACAAAATGCTTTTCTCTAAGGCTGTCCCTTAAACAACATAATCTAGGGTCAGGGCACCAGAAATTCATTACATCTGTACCTGTCAAGCAGAACTCAATGAAAATTCCAATACAGAAAATAAAGAGGAGACTCATATGAAGGGTATATCTTTTGTAAAGATGATAGACATACAGTGCTCTACTATAGGGTTAACTACTTTTTTCTCCTTGTCTTTGTAAGTCTTGATTATATACATGGAGAAAATGTCATGGTTAGTATTAGGTATGTTAGTCATGGTTGGGAAACTAAAGCCAAAGTTTAGGAAATTATGAGATTGGATTTTACAGCAATAAAGCCACAATTCAAGACATGAAACTACTATTAAGAATAAACCGCTTCACTGTATTGTGTCTTCCACATATAAACTTTAATACAAAATGCTCTTTCTGGTGCCATGTCTGGAACCAGAGAGGGGCAGAAGTGAGAGAGAGAAAAAAAAAAAAAAAAACGGGGGTCTGCCCCATGCTCTTAGGACTAAATTTTCTCTGATCAGGGCACCGCAGACCAGAAGTGTGGTAAGAGACTGTACCGAACACAGGCTAAGGAGCCTGAACATCCCAGGAGCCATGGGGAATCACTGAAGAATCCCAGGCAAGGCAAGCTGTTTATTTTGATTTGTATTATAGAGCGATCACTCCAGAAGCCATGTAGAGACTAGACCAACAGGGGATAAGACTAGGTTATAGGTCACTGAAAGACCCTTTCAGTATTTCAGAAATAATTGTTAATAGTCAGAACCAGGGCAGTGGTAATGTGAATAGAGAAGAGAAAATCAATTTACGTAGATAGAATTGATAGGACCTAGTGATTAATTGGATATGTGTAGTAGAAAAGAGTTTATTTCCATGATTTTAGATAGGTGATTGGGTAGGAATACGATGCCATTCACAAAGATAAGAAATGCAAGAAGCCTTTGGGGGAAGATGATTCATTCCGTTTTGGAAATTTTGAATTTTAACATTCAAGCACACGTGCACGAAACTGCTAGATGCAACATGGTAGGGCTTAGGAAGGAGATATAGACTAGAGTTACACATTTAGGAGTAACCATATAATATATAAAGAGTTCGAAGTAAGATAAAGTAAACACATTCCATCCTGTCTCAATCACTGAATACAGCTTAAAAACCTATACAGAACGCATGGAGCAGTTATTTGAGTACTCTGAAAAGTAACTAGTAGCAAGCCACTTGGAAAAAAGGACCAAACTTTGAAGTGTCACCCAACAATAAAGCAGTTAAATTTGCCCATTTTCTCTCCAGTAGTCCCCTAGCCTGGACTCAAATTATCCTGAAAGATGGAAGTGAGTATCAGCACAAACAGAGAAAGTTCTAGGGGAAACCTTCTAGTTCAGAATCAGAAGTAGAAAAGACATCTCCTGCCAGTGACAGCAGCAGAAGTAGGAGCCTGTTGGCAACTAAAACTCTAAGAGATGAGAATGTTCCTCTTTGATCAGAGAAACTGTAGTCCCAATACCGTGGGGCAAACCCTGTTCCTTTTTTTCTCTCTTTGTCCTGCCCCTCCTTGGCCCCAGATGTCAGCACAGTTGCAGGAAGTTTGAAGCAGAGGTGGATAAATAAAGTCTCAGATTTATGGCTAGAGGACTGAAGACCCCTAGAGAGCCCCCAAATATGCGAAGCTTAGTAAGTGACCCAGTCAGTTGTTTATCAACTCCTGAATTCACCCCCAAGCTGTGTATGTGTGGACCTGATCCTAAGCAGTATTCAAAAGAGTTTGAAAAAAAACTAACAGATGGACCTTAGGACTAAGAGTGGCAACTAAGGACTAAGACCTCCTACAGTGGCAACTGGGGGGCACAGGAATGTGACAGCTCCAAAGAACCCAGCGAAAGCTTTGAAAATGGAGCTGATATTAAAACCACAACAAACAGAAGGCTCATCAGAACTTTCAGCCTGAACTAAACCAAGTTGGCTGCCTGAAAAAAGGGAAAACGAGACTCAGAGTTTAGAATACTCAAAATGTTCAGAATACAACCCAAAACTACTCAGCAATACAAAGAACCAGGATAATCTCAACTCCCCTGGGAAAATTAATCAACAGATGCCACTCTGAGATGACACAGATGCTGAATTATCTGACAAAGACTTAGAGCAGCTGTAACAGAAGTGCTCCAGCAAGTAAGAGTTAACACTCTCGAAATGAGTGGAAAGAGAGAAATTCTCAGCAAAGAAACTGAAGATATAAAAGAGAATCAAATGGAAATTTTAGAACTTAAAAATATAGTAATGAAATGAAACAACTTATTAGATAGGCTCAATAGCAGAATGGAGATGTAGAGGAAAGAGTCAGTGAACCTGAACATAGATCAATAGAAATTACCCAATCTGAACAACAGGATAGAGAGAAGACCGATAAAGTGAAAAATCAGAGTCTCAAGGACCCATGCTACAAAAAAAAAATGACTACCATTTATCTCACCAGAGTCCTAGAAGGAGAAGAGAAAGAGCCTAGTACAGAAAATATATTTGAAAAAATAATCATTGAAAACTTCCCAAATTTGGTGAAACACACAAACCTACAGATTTAAGAAGCTCAGTGAGCCCCAAGCAGAATATACCCAAATCAGTTTATACCCAGACCTGACATTCAACCTGCTGGAACCTAAAGACAAAGAAAAAAAATCTTGAAACAGCCAGAGAAAAATGATGCATTGCTTATAGAGAAATGACTTAAGTGACTGAGGATTTCTCATCAGAAACCATCAGGGCCAAAAGGAAGTGGAACATTTTTAAAGTGCTGAGGAAAAAAAGACCTGTCAACCCAGAATTTTATACCCAGTGAAAATATTCTTCAAGAATGAAGATGAAATAAAGATGAAGGAGAAGTAAGAGA